TTAGGAATCGACGTTTTTCAGATTTTTCTTGAAAAGGCTGTCAGTTTGGGAAATATAGAATTTATTCCATACTTTACGGACAAAGTGTATGTATATCCAGCTATTATTGGCATCAAGAAATCACTGAGGTGGATCTGCAGATTCCAGCTCATTCGCGACTCATCTGCTGTGGATTGCTGAATGCGACTCAGTATTGTCTAATCTCTTGAAATTTTGAGCATTCCCTCCTCCTCTCGAAACTTCCAGAGGTCAGATGAAGATTATTGAAATAAAAAGTCAACGTTTTTCAGATTTTTCTTGAGAGTTCTATCAGCTAGGGAAATATCGATTTCATTCCATTGTAAGAATTTTATTCATTCTTATACGTCCTTCATCAGGACAGATCAAATAAAACTGTTTTCGAAAGAAGATTTATTGAGGAAACATTTCCTAGGTGAGTACATGAATTAAAAATCCTACTTCTGATGTTTGATTCGATATACTTTTGATGATTTGCTTCGGTGCACCAACTTCTAATGCCTAATATGAACATAGTAACATTCATCGTTTCAAAATGAAACTATCTACTCTACCAAATGAAGTCTTTCTCCTGATGTCACCAATCTGCGAAGTCACCAAGCTTGGAAAAACCCAGCGGGTTCAGGAACGATTTGATGAACTTCCTGCTGCTTCCTGCTTCACTTGTGAAAAAACCAGCACTCGCTGTCCGGTGTTTCTTCAATCTGGCATAATCCGGTACCGCTGGTGTGAACAGGCAACACTCTTTTGCCGTCTATATTTTCCTTCCTTCGGAAAATCTCCTTATCTGTGTACTATCCGTGACAACCTCCTTTCTTTTTATTTCTCTATACCTACCTACTATTCTGATCTATCAATTGATTTGACATATTCTTGAACGGTGTTTATCGACTTCAGAACATTGAATAATATAAATATACGTAATTGAAAGTCAGGAAGATTTTATAGGGTCTCAACACCAACAAAGCTTATGGCTCCGACAGAATTCCACCGATTGTTATTGAGAAATGTGCTCTCGAACTGACACCTGTTCTCTGCAAATTGTTCAACTACTTTTACGAATTGGGAATATTCCCGTCCAACTGGGAAGTTGCAAGAGAACAACCAGTTCCTGAAGAAGGCATAAACACCCTACCTGGCAACTACAGACCGATCGCACTGCTATCTATTATTTCAAAGATCATGGAGAGAGCTATCAACATCGAGCTCATGCAATACCTGAAACATTCAGGTATCATCAACGATATGCAATATGGCTTCCGTCATCAGAGATCAACTGGTGACCTGCTCGCTTACGTCTAACATATATGGCAGCAGTCTATTGAAAAATCTGGTGAAACCTTAGCCGTGGCACTTGATATTTCCAAGGCATTCGATCGAGTCTGGCACCACGAACTCCTCGCCAAGCTTCCATCTTATGGCTTGCCCCCCAGCTATGTTCTCCGCTAGCAAGTTTTCCCTTAAACAGGTCTCTCCATGTAGTGGTCGACGGAGTTTCATCTGACTCACTCATCATAAATGCTGGTGTCCCGCAAGGATCAATTCTACCACCAACACTATTTCTACTCCATATCAACGATTTGTTGGAAGCAATTTCATGTTCAATACACAGCTTCGCGGATGATAGTACACTCCATACCGCCTTCTCTTCCAGGGCTCCAATACCAGCCAGACAAATCAGAAACGAACGGGGGAGAAATGTTGACAACATGAATATGGACTTGGCAACAATTCTTGAATGGGTATCCAATGAATTGGTAGATTTCAATGCAAACAAAACCCAACCATTTCTTTTCTCTAGAAAAACCGATCTCACTGTGCCCAACATAAGCTTGTCAGGAGTTAGCATACCTTTGAAGACATCCATTTCGATTCTTGGTATTACTATCAGCAATAACCTTTCTTGGTGAAATCACGTGAGATCAATTGCTGAAAGTGCATCCCAAAAACTTGGTTTCCAGTTTCGGGCCAGGAGCTATTTCACTTCCAGTCAGCTACTTATGATCTATACGGCACAGATCCGACCTGTCCTGGAATACTGTTCCCACATTTGGAGTGCAGCATCCAAACATACCCTGTAACTGTTGGATTCTGTCCAAAAAAGGGCAATTCCTCTCGTGGGTGATGCCTCGCTCACATACTCACTCACTTCTCTGGGACACCGTAAAAAAGTTGGCGATCTGGCTCTATTTTATAGAAATTTTCATGGACGATGCTCTTCTGAAATATCAACAATTGTTCCTCTCTTGGCAGTCCCCGCGAGATTAACCCGTCGAGTTGAGGCTTCGCACCCCTTCGTGATTACTTTGGAGACCTGCAGAACATCTCTTTCCAAAGACTCGTTCATCCAACGGACAGCAAGACACTGAAACACATTGCCAAGGGAGGTGTTTCCTGAGGCATATAACCTCAATTCAGGAAGAACGCCAATTCCTACCTTATTTCTCTTGGTTCTTCAAGATGTTCTCTGAACATTACAGGATATCCTTTTTCTTGGGAACCAGTACATGAAAAAAATATATAAAACTATACTATGAGCCGTTGCACCATATATCAGGCACACAGTGTATATATAGCTATTGATATCCAGAAATTGCTGAGGTGGATTGGCTGGCAACTAGCACATCAAAATTTCAGCTCCTTCAAGTCTCATCTGCTGTGGATTGCTGGATGTGACCCAGTCTTGTCTTATCTTTCAAGGGACTTCTTCGCAGACGTTTTAAAAATGCATGCAGTGATCTGAGCCAGTGAATGGGGTGTTTGCGATGTGTGCGAAGCATATTGAATAGGTCATTTCGAGTAGAAGGAGTCTCTTAGCTAACGATGGGCAATTTAGTTGGGGTTGGGAAAAGTGCTGGAGTTTGTATAAGTTGCTCGCGGGATTTTGTGAGACATTCAAACTCGAGGGGGATTGTTCATCGCCGGAATTAGAATTTTCGAACCGAAAGTACGAGGGAGAAGGAAGGTGATGTCTTTCTTCTATCCATCAATAGTGAACCAGCTGCTGAACATGAATTGCCATCTAGTTGATGTAAGGATATAATACCTGATATACAGTGAAGATACAGGGAGTCAAAGTTTCATTATTAATTTCTATTATTTGAAATATCTCGCTACCTCTAACTTGACGGTATCAATTTGAAATTGGGTGTGGTGAATACTCTCTAGAATATCATGATATGAACCATTTTTGAGATTCGTAATATCCACAGGGTGATATGTTTTTGAGGGTAGAGGCTTCTTTATTCAAATACATAAAAAAGCATATCGGTGCGAATGAAATGTTAATTTTGCCTATTATGATTCGCCAAATCTAATGAAATGTACCAAATTATAATCTGATTCATAAGCAGGATGACAGAGGGTCAAGTTGTTTTTACCCGACCAATCCAACACTGGTTGAGCCACATCCAGTTGTGTTCATATTCCTCATTCAATATCTTCTCCAATATCATTTGAAAAATTGAAAAATAAAATAGCATTCAACGTGTCGGAAAGAATCTTCTATGGGAATGTGATTCTATTTTTCGCATAGGTATATCATTATTGTCAACTAATTTTGCCCAAGAATGGAAAATATAAATGTAATTACCATGATCTAGAATAGATAGCTTATTTATCTCGAAAACTGTGAAGAAAAAAGTACTTCATATACAAGATGCAACACATTAACGTGTAAAATGTGTTGTCGAGTGTAATTATGGCTGGAAATCTGACGTGGATTACAACTAATTTCGGGAAGTTCTGAAAATGCCTGTATCCTAATTGAAACCGTTCCAGAGGGAATATTTCCACAAAGAGCGAAGGGAGCTGTCGGCATTCAGTTCAGGAACCGTCCTGCATAGTTAGCAAAACTATGTATATTAAAGTGCAGCTGCCGACCTGAGAGAAGATGTTGATTCTCATATGAATCAAAGTTTGTTTCAATAGTTCCAGACCACTCGTGTTCGTGTTCAAAAATAAACCAATTATAGTACGGAAGCCCAAGCGGGGATTTCGGGATTTACTCGAGCGTGGCAGATTGACATAAAGGGGGTATAGTTGGACCTTGTGAAGTACTCCCACCATACCTGGGCTCGTTATATGGTGTCGAAAGTCTAGGGCAGCCGATCAGATTAGTAAAAAAAAATCGATCGTGAGAAATACTCGAGCGCGTCAGATTAAGACATGGTAGTTAAATAAATTACATGCAGACAAGTGCGCATTTCAATAATCTGACAATTTGAGCGTGACATAAAGAAGGAGAAGAGCCATCATAACCTCTGACCTAGAAGCCACTACATATAAATCTTGAATAGAATCGGATCATAACTACAAAACTCGTTCGACATATTGGATCCGCCATTTTGAATTCCTCACTTTTGACGACAAAATCATAATCTCCAACCACGAAAACCTCAAGATACCAATTATTGATAGAATCCAATCATAATAACAAAACTTGTCAGTTATATTGGATCCGCCCTCTTGAGTTTCCCAATTTTCCCGAAAACCAACAAATAACAAGTTTACATTGGATCGCATTATAATAACAAAACTCGTCCGTTATGTTGGATTCGTCTTTTTGGATATTCCTGATTTTGACCAAAGAATAATCATAATCTCTGACGCAAAAAAAAACTCTAAAACCAATTTTGAATAGAATCGGTTCATGATTACAAAATCCGTCAGCATATTTGATCCACCATAATAAATTTATAATTTCTGACGAAAGAATCATGATCTTCGACGTCGAAAACCTCCATGCAGATACCAATTTCGAATACAATCGGATCATAACTACAAAACTCGTCCACCATATTGGATTCACCATATTGAATCTGCTTTCTTGAATTTCCCAATTTTGACTGATAAATCCAATCTCTGACCCTGAGATACCAATTTTGAAATGAATCGACTCATAATAATCACAATAGTCCAACCACGACGATTTATTTCCACCCCATAACCAGCACAGCACGTACGATATGGCATTTTTTCAGAGGATTATATCCAACCCATGTATGAGCTCGAAATCCAGGAGCGTTGATCCCCTTAAGCGCTTTTCCCGATACAAAAGCATTGTCGCAGCATCTCCTGGAGGTGTATTTATAAAGTCAACGGCATGTCTCGATATCTCCCTAACCAAAGATAAAACGAGGATAGACGCGAAGGGTGCCCTAAAAGAGATAGAAAGGGTAATCACCTTCCTCCTCAGAGCAGTCGAGAAAGAGATCTCATATTTCCTCAGAAAAGGGATTATTATTCATGTCAAGAAGTAATACAAAGAGAAACAGGGGTATGGCGAATTGGTAATGGTTTTTAATATTCTTCAATCCCCAAGTTCTTTTGTTTGGGCCAAGACCCTCAACAGGAAACCTACTTTACAAGGAGAATCTACTCAAAATAGCGGTAAGTGATTCGTGATTTCTCAAGTTGATTACAGTTTTGATAAATATTTTTGGCATTTGCGGATGTGTCATTTGTGAATCATAAAATATAGATCAAGTTTCCAGAGTCTAAATACAACGTTTTTCTGATGTCGACTATCGACTTTGATGAAAATTCAGTGATCTACATCTTAAGTAAATACAAAATGTTTTACCATTCGAACTGAAAACGATAAGGAAATAATCAACAGAATAACGTATGGTCCGAAAGTTTCGAGAAAAAAAATCACCTGGTTTGATTGAGTGACAAAATGCATTCAATCAAGCAGGCGTGGTAATTAAATATCACCCGTCTTGTCATCTAAATGAGCAATGCAAGTTGTTGGTTTGCGCTTACCAAAATATCTTATAAAATTGATCTTCGTCGGGGCATTTTTAATCTCGTTGGGCGAATGACGAAACGAGAGATTGTCGATATTTTTCAAGATCAGACCATGAGTAAATCGACAATATATCGTACAATTAAAGATTGTGAAGAAGGGATACCATGTATGAACTTGCCAAAAAACGGTCGGCCGCGGGTTTTGAACCAATTAAGAGAGCGGAGACTTATTCAAGCAGCTAAACACAGAATTGGGATCTCACAGCGGAAACTGGCCAGTGGATTTCATGTTGGAAAGACTAAGGTGTTCAAGACCCTATCAAGATACAATGTTTTGTTCCAGAAAAGAAGAAAAGCTCCAAAATACACAGAGGCTCAGTTAGAAAGAATTCCAAGATGTTGCCGCGCGTTGAGGCGAGTGCATCTTGCCAACAAGTTAATCGTGATGGACGACGAAAAATATTCCACTTTGTCCAACTCTGAGATGCAGGGCAATGATGGTTTCTACACGGACGATCACGCAAATGTTCCTGACGATGTGAGATTAAAGATCAAAAAGAAGTTTGAGGACAACATTTTGGTATGGTGTGCCATTTCTGAGGCTGGTTTCATTTCACAGCCCTACATTGGCGTTGTTCGTGGTGAGGCCTTAAATGCAGAGCGATATATTGACAGATGTCTTTCCAAATTGCTTCAATTTTTGAATACAAATCATGCGAATGACGAAATTATGTTTTGACCAGACCTTGCTTCATGCCATTATGCGAGAATCACAAGGGATTGGCATGGGGCCAACAACATCAACTTTGTACCGAAAGTGGACAATCCCCCCAACCTACCTCAGGCACGCCCAATTGAAGACTTCTGGGCAATATTGAGCCGGAAAGTCTACAATAACGGATGGGAAGCACAAAATCAAGAACAACTCCGACGTCGTATATCGGGAAAAATCAGAGAAATCAACGCTGGAGTCGTCAACCTGGCCTTTATTAGATGTAGTTGATGTTGCCTTCAATGTAGCCTTTGTAGATGAAAGTAAATGTCTTGGTTTCTTATTGGATTCACAATTGAACTGGAAACATCATATTCAACACCTCAATAAGAAATTGAGCAGCAGTTGTTTTGCTTTGATAGAACCTTGAAAGCGAATGGTCTATTCATCGAAACCCTAAAAATGGTTTATTTTGCGAATTTTTACTCTCATATGTCCTATGGAATTCTTTTCTGGGCTAAATCAATGATGTTGAAATCAGTGTTTGTGCTACAGAAAAGGGCAATTAGAATTATTAGGACTTTCTCGAAGTACTTCGTGTCGTCAATATTTCATTCAAATGAGAATTTTAACATTACCTTCTCTCTACATTCTTGAAGCTTTATGTTTTTGTCACAAAAATCGAAATCTGTTCAATTTTAGTTCTTCCTCCACTCGACAGTGCTACAAAATGATCTTACTTCCTCATCATAACACATCGTTTTTTGAGAACAGCGTTTATTACAGTAGTGCGAAACTATTCAATAAACTGCCTACCGATTATAAGTTTATGCCATGTATCAATAAATTCAAAAGTTCAGTGAAAAATCTTCTAATAGATAAAGCATACTACTCAGTACTTGATTTTCTCAATGATAATAATATGTGATATGTGTATACCGAAAACGTTATGGAAAGCACTTGTATAGTTCCATTGTTTCAGATATAGGTACTCTCAACTTTTTATTTATTTTTATGTAAATGTGTAGTATGAGCGTTAAGTTATATAATCTGTAACATGAAAATTTACCTTTATCCAAACTCAATTATCATAATGGTACAGTTTCCTCTTTTTGTGCTCAGACTTGAGTCAAGTATCATCAAAAGTAAACAGCTAAGCATTTAGTTCACATTTTATTGCAGGAACTTACAAGAAGTGAATTACATTACATAACAATTGTGGGTATTTCATCATGTTCTTGTACCTGTTGGATTGGTTGGCTCACTGCTTATGTTTTTGGGAATATTGATGCCTAAAATTGAATTAAGTCACAGTCATAACTTACCTGAAGTCAGTCTCTGTATTCTTCAAACTGAGGTGATCATCTCCAAGCTCCAAGCAATCCTTGAACCCCAGGAACAATCTGAAAAGAAAAACAAAAGATTAGGTGAAATCATAAAGAAAGTATTTGAGCTTCAACAAGCATTGTACTTACCAAGTGAGTCTTACAGGTGTTAGGACTTTCTTTATTTTTCCCCAAATTCGCTTCTTTGGAAAGTTATTTTCAAATTCGAATTTGTTTATTTATTTTCATTGGCTGTCAACATGATAAATTACAATTTGTCCAAAGTCAAATATCAAATGGTTTCATGTCAATGTCATAGGTCACAAGTCACGTCAGATTTGTTTCTTACTTCATTTTAGGGTTGTTCGTTTGCACTTAAGAATCAGTCTTAAAGTCAGGTCGAAGTGAATACTAGGTGGAAAGTCATGTCATTAAAAAGGCGTGTGTCATATGTCAAGTGTCACCGAACCACGTGGGGTAAATCCTATTTTCTCATTGGCTAGAGGTTGGAAAGAATGGATGGCCTGCGATTGGCTAAGAGCTCAACTTGTGCTCACGCATGAGCGGTGTTGTTGCGCAGAAAGCATAGTTGGCGCTGACTGTTTTTTTCGAATAGGTTTTCCTATGCTTCGATTTTGTTCTTGACAAATATAATTTTTCGGGAAGGGATTGTCCTTTTCCGTCTTGGTCTCAACGACGCCATTATGGGCAGGAAAAGCTCTTTTTCGATTTTGCCTGGCGAGGCGATAAGTCGCCACTTAATTTTCATTTGGTTGTGCGAAGCCGATCCCCCGTGGAAGGTGAGTTTTTTGAACCACTTGTGGCATATTTTTGGCCTGCAACAGGGACGTTCTCGATTATAGATTTGCCGGCTTCCACGAGCCCCACGAGTTTCCTTACTGATAGCTCTAAATCTGAGCCCGGACCACTGCCTCACCACTGACCACTGCCTTAGCCTTAGTACCATTGAAGAAGACGCCCTTTCTGATGACCACCTGCTGATCTTCAGCCTGGTTTCTGACGGCCTCGTGCTCGTCAGCTTTGAAGAGCCTCCTAATTCCAAGGGGTTCCTTGGGTTCAATTTCCCCACTGCAATCAAGCCTCCATTTGATGAAAGTGCCCATGAGTCAAGACAGGCTTCACTGGGACTGTTGAGGTCACCCTGTCCTGACTTCGAGTAAGACGTTCCTGGAGTCCCAAGGGAGGAGATATGGGGCCTATATTCAAGTTCTTGGTGAGCTCGATCCAAATATGATTTATGTTGATGAGTTTAAATGATTTAATTTCACCAATATTTCTGTCTTATCACTAAACTTAATTTTTCATACACAAGTATCATGTGCAATCAAGGTTAATTGATTAGGGTTTATTTCAACCATGTTTATGGTATATACATAGTGGGATTTTGATTTTGGTACCTATATAAAGTATAGTATGAGGTATATGTATAAAATAATCACAAACAGTAGTGATACATGATGGTCCCTGTAAACCCCATGCAGCTGCACGCGGTAACCAGTGTCTCAGTAGGCCTTTAAATCATTAGCTGTTGTTTAACTTAACTATACTGCATAATATATTCTCTCCGAGAATTGGGAAGATTTACATGCCTGTTCACTAATTCACTATGAAGCTTAGTAATTAAACTACATTTGACTAAAGTCTGCACTGTTTTGATTTCTTATCTTTCATTCCAACAAATTTAAGTGGCGCCCCTTTCAAAATAAAAAAAAAACTGTTTGATGAACATCTGACCAGACACATTGGCTGCCGTTTCCTTGACAACACCATTTTGCTGTTTTTGGTATTTATTTTGGGGTAAGTCTCTAGAAAATGCAAAAGGTGGTGACAAATCTTAGCATATCTGTGTAATGGTATACACCAACCAATTTCAATTGCTACGAAATGGATTTGTATTGTTTCAGGTACACTAAGAACTTGTGTGTTTTTTGTATTCATATATATTTTTTTGTAAAATGTTCAGATATAATGATCATTCTAGCACAACTATCTTTTTAGGACAACTACTGTGCACTTTCCTACAAAACTTGTTTTTTTCTGGAAATAAGTATCTTATTTTATCTTATCTTATGTCCAAAGGATGATGCAACGCGTCAGAGGAAGAGTCAAGCAGATCATAAGAATAGTTAAGAGATATTGTAATATTATTTGTTAAGATAATAAACATTTATTTCTATGAGTTGTCAGCATCTGACTTTTTTCCAAAACTTTCGGACCATACGTTAGTCTACTGCAGCAAATACAAGCTACAACCTACTGTTAAACATATGAAACGATAGAAAGTTGACAGTCCATCCAAAAAAGAAACTAACTCGAAGGCTGACTAAGTAATGAGTATATACCTATCTGAGTACCCCAAAAAATTCAGTTTGACTTCCATACTTGAATTCATTACTACCTCATCTTTGAAACTGACTATATGTATGTATGTAATTCCGTTCATTACCGCAAA